GTGTTTGTGTCTCTTCAGGTGTGTTAATGTCTCCTCAGGTGTGTTAATGTCTCCTCAGGTGTGTTTGTGTCTCCTCAGGTGTGTTAATGTCTCCTCAGGTGTGTTAATGTCTCCTCAGGTGTGTTTGTGTCTCCTCAGGTGTGTTAATGTCTCCTCAGGTGTGTTAATGTCTCCTCAGGTGTGTTTGTGTCTCCTCAGGTGTGTTTGTGTCTCCTCAGGTGTGTTAATGTCTCCTCAGGTGTGTTTGTGTCTCCTCAGGTGTGTTAATGTCTCCTCAGGTGTGTTTGTGTCTCCTCAGGTGTGTTAATGTCTCCTCAGGTGTGTTTGTGTCTCCTCAGGTGTGTTAATGTCTCTTCAGGTGTGTTTGTGTCTCCTCAGGTGTGTTTGTGTCTCCTCAGGTGTGTTTGTGTCTCCTCAGGTGTGTTTGTGTCTCCTCGGGTGTGTTAATGTCTCCTCAGGTGTGTTAATGTCTCCTCAGGTGTGTTTGTGTCTCCTCAGGTGTGTTTGTGTCTCCTCAGGTGTGTTGGTGTCTCCTCAGGTGTGTTTGTGTCTCCTCAGGTGTATGTGTATGATCTGATATATGATGAACAGGATCTTACAGCTGTCCCCTTCTCTTCCTCAGGTGACCTTCTGTCTGTAACACACCCCCCCCCCTCCCCAGGTGTGACCATGCCCTGGCTCGTCTCCTCTCAGGTGGACTTCCTGTCCTCGTCTCCGTCTCAGCGTGAGTGTGAACGGACGTCCTTCTCGTTCTACTGCTCGGTGCGGGACCTTCTGCCGGTGTGGCTGCTGGAGGAGCAGCGCAGCATGGAGACGTTCAGCTGGGAGGACGGGCCTCGAGGCTTCCTCCCTGCGGAGGCTCTGCTGTACGCTGTGGTTCACGACCACCAGGACTACGCCTCCTTTTTGCTGCATCACTTCTCCGTCAGCGCGCTCAGAGCGCCGCCCTGCAGTTTCTGCTGCTGCAGCGGAGGGGCGCCGCACCTCAGCGTGGCCGTGCGCTACGACCGGCTGCACATCCTGGCTCTGATGCTGGAAGCTCTGAAGGACTGCAGCGAGAGGCGGGACTTCCTGGACGGCTGCACCGGCTGCTCGCATGCTGCGGACGCAGGGAAGAGTGCGGTGCAGCTGGCGGTGGAACTGTCTCGCTCCGACTGCCTGCTGCTGCTGCTGAGTCACGGTGCTGCGCCCGCAGGCCTGGAGGCCGTGCTGCAGCGCCTCAGCAGCGCCTCAGAGCTCAGCTCCTGCGAAGCCTCAGAGCTCAGGCAGGCGCAGCGCTGCATGGACTTCCTGCTGCTCTTCCTCCCCTCGCCCCCCCCGATCTGCTACCTTCAGGACGAGCCGCAGCGCTGGCAAAGCCTTCTGGGAAACGAAGTCTTCAGGTGGCTGTCTGGCCTGGCTCCGCCCCCCCTCTTGCTGCAGGCCCTGAGGTGTTTGGCCCGGTCCGGCCCGGGTCAGATCAGCGCACTGCCTGACTTCTTGCAGCAGCACAGCTGGCAGTGAGGTCATCGTCACCATGGAAATGGTGTGCTTATGATGTAAATAAATGTAAATAAAGACTGAAACACGGAAGGATACCCGGCGGGCTTCAGGACCCTGAACAGACTGAATGATTGGCTCCTCCCTCTGATGGACCGTTAGATGGAGACATCTATATTAAAGTGCTTTATGATAAATGGGTCATATTGATCTTCACTATTATTCATGTTAAATTAAATACTCTAACATCTTAAAACATGTCAGAATCTACCTGTTGAACAAAGAAGAAACGTAGGGTTACCCTAACAATAAAAATTGTCTTTTTGTTTGCGTAAATACACACACACACACACACACACACACACACACACACACACAGCACCCACACACACACACACACACACACACACACACACACACACACCCTTCATGAACAACAGATGACCTGTTTCTACGTGTTTATTGATTTACGGGTGAGTTTACACTGAAATCTGATTGGTCTGCAGCAGCCAATCAGCTTACACCACAGCTGCACAGGTGGGAAGTGTTTCATATAAATCCAGGGTTAATCTCAGTTTAACGACTTCAACAGAACATTAATTACATTTTTACATATTTTCATTAATCCGTCCCCCGGGAGGAGAACCACAAACAATCAGTTTCACCGGTTAGTTTAATCACTGGAACCAGTGGAACCAGTGGAACCAGACAAGACAGAAGGCAGTATCAGAGATTAAATATCTAAATGTTTGTAGATTTAAAATATGTTTTAATCTCTAGTTATTTCACTTTTGATGGTTAGCCTGAAGATAACATGTCAAACTAATCTGAACTATATGAGTTATAGTTAGCATGAGGAACGTACCTAAAGTAACCAGTGGAACCAGTTTGATTCTTTAAACTGGTTCCCAGTGGAATAAAGACGGTCCTTCAGAGCGAGTTCCTATGTCCTTTCAGAATAAAGTGCTTTCTTGGTGAAATCAAAATAAAGTCCCATCTCCCAGCAGCCACCACGTTCAGTGATGTCACTCCTCAGATGAGCTCCCATTCGTCATCGTCCCCGCTGAGGGAGGGGCCTGAGGGGGAAGGTCTACCGAGGGTCTGTGGGAGGAGCTTCGTCAGACGTCGGGACAACCCACCAATCAGAGTGACCGCCCACAGCTCGTCATCCGGAGTCACTGGGACACAAATAACAACAAATAACAACAAATAAATCAATATAAACCATTATAGATATATAGCAGTATAGACTCACCTGTCAACCAGTTGGTGTTTCCAGGTATTTTCTTCCAATAATCTCCGGCGGGGTTCCGGTCTGAGACGCCGTACCGCCTGGCCACGTCTCCGTTAGGGCATCGAACCAGAACTGTCCTGCAGCTCAGAACCAGCTGAGTGACGAGCAGCCCTGAGTACACACAGTACACAGTCAGGTACACACAGTACACAGTCAGGTACACACAGTAAACAGTCAGGTACACACAGTACACAGTCAAGTACACACAGTACACAGTCAGGTACGACACAGTAAACAAGTACAGGTACACAGAGTACACAAGTCAAGTACACACAGTACACAGTCAGGTACACACAGTAAACAGTCAGGTACACACAGTACACAGTCAAGTACACACAATACAGTACTGTAAAGAGTTTACAGATACCCTCCCCCTTTATGAACAACAGGTGAGTTTACCTGGCACCGCCTCCCAGTCCGTCCCCACTGGCATCTCGTCACTGAGGCCGGTTCTCACCAGAACACTGCCTCTGTTGTCCAGAGCCCATAGCAACCGGTCATTAGGGGAGGTCTGCACGCTCACCAGCTGCACTCCTATTGGCTGAGAGGACGTGAGGTCACACTTCTGTTACCTGTACAGGTGGTGCTATGAGTCTATGTTACCTGTACAGGTGGTTCTATGAGTCTCTGTTACCTGTAAAGGTGGTGCTATGAGTCT